TAATTTTTCATAGATCTACCTGAATCACTCGTTCTAGCGAGGAGGGGTGGCGGAGGGGCCTAACGCCGAGGGAGGCCTGAAGAGAAAGAACAAGAAACCGGGCCTTCTCGGCAGTGGCCCCTCGCCTTTGGAACAGTCTCCCCTCTGAGATCTGCCTGGCTCCCTCGCTAGGTGTTTTAAAGAGCCAACTTAAGACCTGGCTCTTTAGGCAGTCCTTCCCTCCCGTCCCCACTTGATTTTGTTTTCCATCTTGAATGATATCATTATTGCTATTTAAATTGTCGTTTTAACTTACTATATTGCTTTGACTATTTTTATTGCAAGCCACCCAGAGCAGACGTAGTCTAAATGGGCGGGGTATAAATTTAATAAATAAATAAAATAGATAAATATTTTCTATGAATTTTAAATCTTTATAGATTTTGTGTATGGCCATATTGTTTGAATATACGTTGTTATGTGGAGTCTTGTGGTTTTACATTTTAACCTAAAAACTGCTCATAGTAGTTATTTTACTAATAGGGTGATATATAAATCAAATAAATAAATAAATACATAAATAATTAAGGAATTAAACACACACACACACACAACAGGGTCACAGTGTGCCAGAGAATTAGAAAAATAATTCTGAAAGAGAAGCAGCAACTGCACCTTTAAACTAATGCTAGCAATAATGATCTAAACAAATTAGTAAATGTTACAGCCAGTTCCTTTAAATACTTATATAAAAACAAAACCTCACACAAAATTAATTAATTAATTAATTAACAGATTAATTAAAATCAATCAATCAATCACTCAACCAACCAATTAATTAATTAATAATTAATTAATTAATACCCCGCCCATCTAGAAAGAAGTCTACTCTGGGTGGCTAACAATAATAGACAGAATAAAAACAATATAATAAAATAAAATAAAAACCCAGCAGTAATATAGTTCAAGATGGAAAAAAAAATATTCAAGTGATGACAATCAATGCTGAAACAAACGGGCAGCCAATGCAAGGCAGCCAGTGTGGGGGAGATATGCTGATGTTTTCTCATCCCACTGAGAAGTCTGGCCACCACATTCTGCACCATTTGAAGTTTCCGCATCAATCTCAAAGGTATCCTCACGTACAGCACATTACAGTAGTCTAATCTCAAGACTACAAGCGCATGGACCAGAGTGGTGAGGGCCCCGCCATCAAGATAGGGATGCAGCTGGGCAATCCACCACAGATGGAAATAGGCAGAGCAGACCACTGACACCACCTGGGTTTCCATGGTGAGCACAGGATCCAGATGGATCCCCAACCTCACTCTTCGCGGTGAGAGTCACTCCCCCAAAAGAGAGGGAGTTTCCCAAACCACCGATGGAGGGGCCACCCACCCTCAGGACCTCCGTCTTGTCCGGGTTCAGCCTCAGTCCATTCTCCTGCATCCATTGCAGTACAACCTCCAGGCAGCGCTGAAGGGACGGAATGGCATCCACTGTGGTTAGAGAAAAGGAGATGTAGAGCTGGGTGTCATCAGCATACTGATGGCAGTACACTGATGACACCCAGCTCTACATCTCCTTTTCTCCAACCACATTACATTATTCCAAGTAATGGTATAAGATAATATCCAATCTAAAATGGTTTATTTCGGGGGCTCTTTTCTGGAAAGCTGTTTCATATGCATACATTTGTCAGGATTAGATGAGCAAAGCAGGTGAAGAACAGAGGCTAATTCTGAGGATCTTCAGTATGAGTAGAATCAAAGGACTGTGGAGTCACTTCTGTATGGGGCTTAAAAATACTAATTGAGGTTTCCTGTTCTTTTCTCAGCACATTATCTAATTGTAAAATATTTGTTTTGGTGATAATATTGCTGTAATTTGAAAATTTTGATTATTTGAATGTTGCAAAGTGAACCACAATAATTGATCTTTCTTGAAGGAACAGCAGAAAATGCCAGGACTATAGTGTGGAAAGAACTAGCCACCTCTTAAACATAGATGGAATCCCAGAAAAGTTGAGCCTCTAATTACATGGAGAACTGGGTTACTTGGAAGTCTCTAGACTACAGACTGGAGCCATCAGAATCAATGGGAACCTCAGAAAAGGCGGGTTTGCACTGAAGCAGTACTTTACAGGTGCAGAGGAGAACTCACAACTTCACACCTGTGTCAGTGTATTCTCTGCCCCTCAACATGTACTATGGAAAACTTGGTGTTAGCTGCCCCAAATGCTCTTGATGTTGTCTATCATTGGGTGAAAATTATCTGATATATTTCTGGATTGTACTTGGGTGCTTCTGACATAAACAAAGAAGACCTTCTATTCTGACACTACCACTTTCATCATCTGTTTCCTATGCTGCTATTCTAACACACACAATCAAAACTGTGATTCCTAGGTTTTCCTGAATGGGTATTTAGCATTTTACTCTTCTAAAATGTTGGTCAGTTTCAGTTTAGTTTCTCAGAATGCCGATACTAATTCGTGTGTTTCCTACACAGGCACAGTTACATCACCTGCATGCATGAATTAGGTACAGTGTCCCCAAAATAAAGGAAAATGTGACCTTTGAAACTGGATTGTGAAAGCTGAGTTCTGGGATGGTATCACAATCCTGTTTAGTATGCACAAAAAGAAATGATCAGAACATATTCTCAAAGTGTTTTGTGATAAATGGGTATATCTTTAAACACACAGTTGAACTTAATACTTCTGAGAATTAGGATAGTTCGTACCTTGTGGAAACTATGTGACACCCTAAATCTACTGGAATACGCTTTCTCATGCCATTATACAAAAACAAGACCAGTTCCACAATTAGCAATGAAATGACTGTTACGTTTAAAATTCATAGCCTTCTTCCGGAGAAAAGAGGTTTTGTTGCAATGCCCTCTCATGTATATTCACTAATCAACTCTCCTCCACAAAATCATTTCTTAATGGTCCGCAGTGTTTGACAACCTTGTCTGCACACTTCCATGTAAATATAAATACAAATAAAACCAGGCGGCACTCATGGAGCGCTCAAGGTCAACAGGTATCCAAAGGCACCGTTGCTGGGGGGTTACCTCCCCTTCCCGTCTCGAGGCTACCAGCAGCAGATTGTCTGCTGCTACCGGACCAGACGCATCCTTACGCGCACACGCGGACACATGGCGCAACGAGGTAAAGAACTGTGTTTTTTTTTTTAATTCACAACTTTTACAGATATCGTTTCTGCAAAAGCCGCCGCCGCCCCGCCTTCTTCCAGGCCAGCGAGGTCGAAGTAACATTTGGCTACTTATGGGGAGGGGTGTGTTGGCTCTTTCCCGGCCCGCCCGTCCGCCCGCCCGCTGCCTCCTGTCCGCGTCACAAGCGATCGATCTGTGTGCGTAACGTTCCCCACCGGCCGGGGACAGCCTCCCGCTGGCGCCAGGCACCCTCGCGCCTTGCCAACTGGGCAACAGCCGGGGCGGCGGGCGAGGGAAACTCTGCTCGCGTGAGCGCAGCCGCCGGAGGGGTTGTACAAGGAGGTGCGCTCGCTTTCCTGGTGCTCCTCCTCCTCCGCGTTCGTTGACTCGGAGCTGGCCTGCCTTCCTCGGAGCTTGGCGCGGCGCTCGCGTTTGGCCCCTTTCCTCTTTCTGCCAAAGGGGCGGGTTGGAAGAGAGGGAGGAAACGAGCGCCTTGGTGGCTCCCGCCTAGTCTCGTCCCCCCTTCCCCCCCCGGCTCCGCCTTTGAAGTTTTCGGCCACTCCACTTGAAGGGAGATCGATTACAGAGGAACAACAGGCACAAAGAATCGGCAGCCACTTTCCCACGATCGGAGCGCGGCCGCTCCCGCTCCGACCGAAGCACTTCGCCCCCCTGCTCCAAGAGCATCTGCCCCGCGATGGTTAAATAAAATCCTCCATCAGAAACCGCTACTATTTGTAACTTCAAAGGGACGGGTGGCCAAATATTTCCATCTTTAATGTTACAGTATTTTGAAATATCTTTGACTATCGCGGCGGTTGATTCTTTGGGAACCGGGCGGAAAAGCTGAGCACTTCTCGGGAGCGTGTTTGTTTCTCGGCGGCATTCAACGCGCACCAGCCGAGAGACCATCCTAAAACGCCCGGAAGCTGAACAACGTTACGCGAAACACCACAGGCCAGCCCTGCCTCCTTTTCCCGTCGCGTTCCTCGAGGCTCAGCGTCACGTGGGGGCAACAAAACAAACACACACACACACACGCACACACATTCATTTCATTCATGCCGGGAGCGCACTCCGCTAAGGGGAGGGGCCTCGAGTGGGGGGGGACGGACGGTCGGCCCTGCCGTCTGCCTGCTTTGAAGTCGGGAACGAGTTCGCCTTTCTGGCACTCGGCAAGCGGACTCCTTTTGTGTCACGGAGGGGCGGCTGGGGCGCAGGACTGGCGGGAAACAGGCAGGGAAAGGAAATGCACCGGCAGCCGCGAAGCCCTTTCCTCACGGCGGGACTCGCCCCCCCCCCCGGTGACCTACCGCCGCCCGCCCAGACTTATTTTCTCCATTAACCACTGGGCGACTGCTTCCTAAGCGAAACAGTAAATCCTGCCCCCAAGAGAGGGGGGAGCGTTGGAGAAAACAGCCGCGTACGACGGCCCCGGTGAGCTTTAAACCAGGCCAAGCAGATCCGAACGGAATGAGTTAGATGCCCGCTTGACATCGCCTTGATTGGGTTGGAACTTGGAATTAAAGAATCGATTCAAAACTGGCTTACATTCTTTATTTAAACTTTTACCATACCTGTCACGAAGAGTCGGACACGACTTAACGACCAAACAACAACAACAAAATACCTGTCCACCAAAAATCAGTAAATACATTTTAAAGGAGCACTCAAGGCAGCTGGTTATAAAATACAGAATAAGCACGAGATCTTGATTTAAAACAAAACAAAACAAAAAGCCAGTACAGATGTTTATTTATTTCATAGATTTCTGTACTGCCCCATTAGTGCAAGGCACTATTCCGGGCAGTTCACAAAACAGATGAAATAGAACAGAAATAACAATAAAATTATAAGAGTAATAAACTCAAAAACAAACCATACTGGTTACAACATTACAAAGCCAAGACAGCACAAACGTTACCCATCATAGGGCGGGAAGGCCAAGTGGCAAATGCATATGAGGTTGCTTGCTGTCAAAAGCCTAATGAAGAAGTGCATCTTTCTTAAGCAACTTGAAGGTAGGCAGGGAGCGGATCAGGCACAGCTTGACTGGGAGCCAGTTCTACAGGACTGGTGCCACAGCCAAGAAGGGCCAACTTCTAGGTCATGTTTTCCTGGCCTCCTTCGGTGTGGACACCCAGAGGAACATGGTCTGGGAGGGCCTGGAGGTGCAGGTGGAGGACCTTGGGGAAAGACCCTCCAAGAAGTAATGTGATCCCAAACCGTGGTGCGCTTTATAGGTGGAAACATTGAACTTGACCCAGGACATCACAAGTAGCCCGTGCAAGAGAGCCCAAACTGGGGAGAGGGGGTCAAAATTTACTCTCACCGCATTTTCAAGCTGCTCAGTCTCTGGGTCAGCTTCAAGGGAATCCCCATGTACAGCGTGTTACATTAAAACATACTAAAATGCATTAAATTCATGAAAAGCACAACAAAAGACCTCAGCAAGTCCATAGGGTGTAGTCCCTAACAACACTTGTACCAGCCTCTCCTGTCCCTTCGGCATTGCAGAAGGCATCCTGCTGGCTCAGGGCAGGGCAGCCAAGGCAGCCCCTCCCCGTCTTACTCACCCAAGTCAAGCTACACAGCAGGCAAAGTATCCCCTATCATTCTAACAGGATGAGGACAATGACAACAACAACAACAACTTAAATAACAATTTCCTCTCCTCTGATGAGACCCCTCCCCCAGACTGAAGTGAATCCATAGTCTCCCTCTACTTAATAGTCAGTCCAAGTGCTCCTCCATTGGATTTTTTTGTTCCGAAAACTAACCCTGGGCTGCCGATAGACGCTCTGTAAACCAAAGCCTCTGGCCTGTCCGTCACGTCTTCTCAGGCAATATAGATGGTTGGATGAAGGCCAGATATTCTCCCAGGGCACCCAGACGCCCATCTAAATAAAAATCTGCCAAAAGAAAAGGTGAAGCTGGTGTAGGGGGTTAGAACATTGAAATGGGACTTGTGATATCTATGTTCAAACCCTCCCTGGGCCATGAAACTTACTTAGTAACCTTAAGCTAGTTATTTTATAGCAGAACAGTGATGGAGTGACTTGAGTGGTAGGGAAGGCCCTAGAGAATGACCTCATGGGTAGGGTGCTGGGGGTCAGAATGGTACAGAGGGCACGTTTGTGTAGATGTGTGGGGGATGAATAAGTGTTCACAGTTCTGTGTATAAATGGAGGACCGCATCTATATAAGACAGCGGAAGTGCAGACAGCCCCGCCTCGTGGGGAGGTACACAAAGGGAGGTTCTTCATACAAGTGAAACTCTCTCTCTCTCTCTCTGCATGTGTTTAGAACATGGGATTTATATGCATGATTTGAGACTGATGCTGCTATTATTTTCTAAAATTAATAAAGTGGAATGGATTAACATTAAAGAGGAATTAATTAGATTGCCTTTCAATGATATCCATACAGAACCATGAAGGCTTATAAAATGAGTGTGGTTTTTTACTAAAAGCATCCAACACAGCAGCCCTCTCTCTCTCTCTCTCTCTCTCTCTCTCTCTCTCTCTCTCTCTCTCTCTCTCTCTCTCTCTCTCTCTCTCTCTCTCTCTCTCTCTCTGTGTGTGTGTGTGTGTGTGTGACTTATGACAATCATTCCACCAGTATTTAAAAGATTGGGTAGTTCTGCTTATACTTAACTTAGATTGAGGCACAATCAAATACAGCGGGATTTGCTACAGTTATAGTATGGATTGATTGACAATTTTTTTAAAAAATTCTGATCACATGAGACAAAGGCCAATTGGAATCACTCTGGCCCTTTTGTGCTCCCAATGCAGCTTTTTAGTTCTGCCACTGCAGTCTTCTGCTTTTTCCAAGCTGGAACAATCTGAATCAACCTTTTTCCTGTGTGATCAGTTGATTTGTTCTTGTAAAGATGGAGGTGTTGTCTGTGGGGGCATTCTGGTGATGCAGGAATTTGGAGCATGATGCTCAGCAACATGGGAACAATCAAGTCCTTGTTCTTTCCCTCTAATCCTCCAGATGTTTTTTTTAATGTACATATATGAAATTAGTACTAGGATCAATTTACCACCAGTAATGATATACAGTACTAGTTTAGTATTAGATCACCTCTGAAAAAGAAAAAAAAATCTAATACAGTACAGTAATTACAAACAAAACAGAAACAAATCACACAAAATAAAAAAAATGTTAATGTGGTATTTCTAACCATGTGCATGTGCTAAGGTGTGTCCTTTTAATAGCCACCCAGTAGTCTAATCACTAGTTGGGTGGGATATAAATAAATAAATAAATGCTGTCTAATGACACCTTTAGCTTTACATGTAGTTTGACAATGTATAACCAAAATGGGACAAAAAAACCCCAGAGAAAACACATGTCGATCCACTGAAAAAATGTTATTATGCACGTTTCTGCAACATTCGTTATGACCAGCCAAAGCAATTGTAATCATTACTGGTAAAAAAAAAAATAATAACTGCCTAGGGATCCGTATTCATCTCAGTCTCTGTTGGCAATGTCCAGATACAAATCTTAGTATTTATATACCTACACATCCTTCATTTTGTGGGATTCCAGAACATAGTGAGAGCACACAAGGTGCCTTGATTTGAGACATGTAATATGCCCTGCATGTTCAGGCTAGTTGTTTTCCTTGGAAGAGCACAAAGATCTAAATGCTGGCTGAGCTCACTATCTTATAGCGCCATACCATAACTAATATGGGTTGGTGTTATGAGAGTGTAGAATAATATAGTATAAAGATTTCGTTGCCTTTGAAACAAAACATCTTTTAAAAAAGCTGTGGGGCATTTTATGTAGAACAGTATTTTTGGATTTTTCTAGAGCTTTAGTTTGAGGCTTTGTCTGTAATGTTCTCCTTAACTTTTTTGATCCTGCCTTTCTTTCTGTCTGATTTTATTTCAGTACATCCAGCTTTCCCCTATTTGATGTCTTGCAGGTGCGCTGGACTCCAATTTTCATCATCCTTGCTCAGTTCAACCAATGGCTGTGCTGGTTGGAAATGCATTACAGTGCATCCAAAGAATATGAGGTTAGGAAGGCTATTTGGGATCCTTAAAATGCCATGGAAAATTATCTGGCAAAAATGCTCACCTGCACTGTGGTCACAGTCTGACTCAGACCAGAAGCATGATTAATCTGATATTGTATCCCATGCTGAATTTATTATGGATTTCCCTTCCTCCCACAGTCTCTGGCTTTTGTAACATTTTGCTCAACGAAGAGATCTGGAGATCTTTAAAGATTTTTTATTTATTTTTTTTGCTATGTTGGTTATTTATTAATATGTAACCCAACACCTGTGTTGGGTTATGGTGACTGCTTCGTGGCGGGTCCCAGGTTCTGAAATTCACTTCCAAACGTGGCTAAATTTGCTGCCTCCTTGATAGCCTCCTGCTGTTGCTCCTGGCTGGAGTTAGTTCTCCTCCCCCCCCTTTGAACAGGCAAAGACTTTTTTGTTCCATCAGGCATTCTATTATTGTCTAGCTACTAGGAAAAGAGATTTTACTGTGGTTAAATGGTGCCTTTAACTGCTTTTCAGTTTAATCATGTTTTAATTTTATTGTTTATTTAGCCATGTTGCAAAATGATGACATTTTCTGTGTTTTTACTTGTGTTTTACCTCTCTTTTTTAAAAATCTATTTTTATCAGCATCTGTTTTAACTGTTTTCATCTTCCTTGGGTCCCAGTTCTGGGAGAAAGCTATGGTAATATAAATAAATAA